TGTGGAGGGGGATAAATCCACGAGACCACGGGGGAGGGTGAAAGAGACGCAAACTCCAAATATACAGCAGCAGGCATTGTCATGGTCGGGATCAAACCCACGACCTCCTGTACACCAGGCGAGGGAGTAAACATCTCCTAGCCACCGCGATACAGACGAGTCTATAGAAGATGGCCGAGTGGGAGCCCAAGGCCACCCTCCGTGAGTGATCGTGGGAGGTTCACGTCGCGTTCTTTACCGAGATGGGCCGCGAGCGTTCCCAGCGGCAGCTGCCGGGGACCCCTCCTCTAAGTTCTCCAACGCGGGTTCGAGCACGGGCCTGGCTCTACCTCAAGGGTGGCACAGTCGGGTTTCATATTAAACCCGATCATCTGAGATTGGGAGAAATCCGGTTAAGTTGGTTCTAATTGCAGAACCGCCAACTTCTCAACGATGGGCTTCATCCATTCCAAGCTCAGGAATTCACTGGCGCCCACGATTTCGGAAGAGAAGCTCTTGCTCATCGAGACCAACCTGCCCGCATTCTACCACTACCCCGTGCCCGACGGCCCGAGTACGATAATAGCAGCACGGACGAGGAAGCAGCCTAAGCCTTGGATCAGAGTTTCGTATTCATTAAACCAGGTTTTAATTCCCCGAAATCGGGCTTAATTGTATTAAAGAAAAAAACCCGATGCCTGCCGCTGGAAAATCGGGTTTTTTCCACCCATGCTCTACATGAGCCCCCGCTGACGCCGAACGTCAAAACCAGACCTTGCAAATGAACACCTGGACACTTTACCCCCAGACCAGGAGCCTGAACAGACGTGGGGCAAGTGCTGTTAGCGGCACCGACGGAGGGCGGAACTGCACACGAGGGGGTTGGGGTGGCTCTCACCACGCCGCGTCTCTATTTGGCGCTCCCATCATTCTAGTTTTTTGAGAGTTTGCTGTTGTGACTTGCTGACCGCGCGCCAATACCGGACGTCACAGCTCATCGGATTCCTCCTCCTAGAGTCGATATATATACTATATATACTATCTCTCTCAGGGCTAACAGCACTTGCCCCGACAGTCTGGCAAAAGCTACATGGGCGATCTTTGTCAAGACAGCGTTTATATAGGTCATGTGGCTCAGTGTCACACCCACAGACCGGCCACTTATACTCACATCTTGCCTTCCAAAACAATTCAACTTGTGCTGTAAACCGAGGATGGCGTTGGAGCGGTGGCGCAGTGGTTAGCGCACTACGAGGAAGTGGCCCGAGTTGGATTCGCTAACCGCTGTGCCACCACTCCCCGTTCACGTCAGCGAATTCCTATACCGTACACTCTGCACGAAGACACATACTTGCTCACATACCTCGGCCACACGTATCCTCATACCTTCACGCATGTTAGAAAGGCGGCCGGGCGTGGTGCTGGCCACTCACCCCTCGTGTGCCACAGTGCCGGTAGCCTTCGTCGGTGCTGCTACTCGCTGACAGCACTTGCCCCAATAGTCTGTGAAAGGCTACACAGGGGACCTTTGTCTGTGTCTCCTCGTGTGTGTGCTCTCAAATTACTACCTGGGTGCGGTGCGTACTAAACATCGCCGCTGGGGAGACAAAGGCGGCCGGGCGTGGTGCTGGCCACAACCACCACCTCCCCCCCAACCCCCCTTCGTGTCGGAGTCCCAGACCCTCATAGGCGCTGCTGCTGCTGCTCGCTCTGGCTGGCAGTGCTCTCCGCTGATATCTTGTGGTGGCCACCCCATCAGGAATGGGTCATTTTGTCGGAGCACCTACAGCTAGCCCCGTAGAGCGAGTCCTCGTTTAACGCGCCCGTCGGAGTCGTAGCAGCAGTACGGTGGTAGATGCGCTCCTGAAAAGTGCCGCGTTAAGCGAAAACAAATTCCCATTAACATTGAACGCTATGGGAGCTTTTAATATTGATTGCTATGGGAGCCATTAACATTAATCGCTATGGGAGCCTTTTAACATTGAACGCTATGGGAGTCTTTAAAATTGAACGCTATGGGAGCCTTTAAAATTGATCGCTATGGGAGCCTTTAACATTGATCGCTATGGGAGCCTTTAACATTGATCGCTATGGGAGCCTTTAACATTGATCGCTATGGGAGCCTTTAACACTGAACGCTATGGGAGCCTTTAACACTGATCGCTATGGGAGCCTTTAACATTGATCGCTATGGGAGCCTTTAACATTGATCGCTATGGGAGCCTTTAACATTGAACGCTATGGGAGCCATTAACATTAATCGCTATGGGAGCCTTTAACATTGATCGCTATGGGAGCCTTTTAACATTGTTCGCTATGGGAGCCTTTAACATTGATCGCTATGGGAGCCTTTAACATTGATCGCTATGGGAGCCCTTAACATTGTTCGCTATGGGAGCCTTTAACATTGATCGCTATGGGAGCCTTTAACATTGATCGCTATGGGAGCCCTTAACATTGTTCGCTATGGGAGCCTTTAACATTGATCGCTATGGGAGCCTTTAACATTGATCGCTATGGGAGCCTTTAACACTGAACGCTATGGGAGCCTTTAACATTGAACGCTATGGGAGCCTTTAACACCGTACACACAGCGAATAGCAGCTCCTCCATCGTTCCCAGGGAGATGGGGCCAAGGGGTTGAAGTCGACGGCAAATGTCGGTGGTCCGTAGAATTTATTTAGGAGGGTAAAACGCATAAGCAGCAGGTCATTCCTGACATGCAATACTCTGGAGTCTACAAACTGAGTTGTACCTGCGGTAGCAGCTACATTGGGGAAATGAAACGACATATCTCGGACCGGGTACGCGAACACAAGGCAGATCTGAAACACGGCAGAACCAATACCTCTGCCGTAGCTGACCATTGTCATAACGCTGTGGGCTCGCATGATATTGTTTTTTTCCGAGACCAAGGTGCTCTGCAAGCCGTTGGGCTACCTTCAAAGATTTGTACATGAAGCCATCCAGATCTATAAACACAGAGATAATTTCAACTGGGAAGATGGATACGAATTGAGCAACCACTGGAAGGATGTTATCAACCAGGTAAAACCTGAACTGGTCGTGATTATTTCCAACTTTCTGAGTTACATTTCCAAGTGAAATGTCTTTACGTTGACAGACTATATCCCTCTGGCCAGCTCTCCCGTCGCCGCCGCAGATCTTACTCTGCCCCCCCCCCCCCATCTCTAGCCCTGCCCATGTATTCTACTCAAATAGTCAACATAACCTCGTGCCACAGCAGCTCTCTCGCCTACTTCAGCAGTTTTTTCTTGCCGTAGTTGTCCCACCTGATGACGATTGCTTGTGTTGCGATCGAAACGTCGTGATTTTTTTGATTTTATTTCTACCTACGTGATTTACCGAAAGAACGAAAGAGTACAGAAAAAAAACTATTGGACAAATTTGGTTAACACAAAAAAATGCAAAAAAAACGAGTTTGCTGCAAAAAAAAATAGAATCGTTGTTGTTTCTAAATGTTCTGCGCATCAAGCGGCAAGTGGCGGAGCAGAGCTGCCGTGAGCCGGACCTGCGCGGGTGGCAGTGCTTTTTATCAGAATCTCTATTTAGACTGCAGGAGGAATCCGATTAGCTATGAAGCTCTTTTCACAGATGTCCAGTAGGGGCGGGTCAAAACGTTACAATACAAAAACACGATAGGACTGCAAAGTACAAGAAAGGTAAATTAATCACTCTAACACCTACAAATAAACCAAAGTCATACCCACCCTACCAGACAAAGCCCACTGAGGTATTTTATTATTTTTCAAAAGCAAGCTGGGCAGAAATGAAGGCTCAACGAAGTGGCTGATCATTTGGACATTTGTTGCAGCAAAATAATCTAAACACTCGAAACGCATTTTCTAAATGTGGAGGGATAAACCGGAGGACGCGGAGAAACAACGCGACCACGGGGAGGACGTGCAAACTCCACATAGTCACAGGCGTCAGGGTCGGGATCGAACCCCCGACCTCCTACATACCATGCGAGGAGGATAGCATCTCGTCACAGTGGCGCAACTTCAATAAATAAAGTAGACAAGTTCAGCTTGCACCATCAGTTCCGACCCTTATACTCGAGAGATGAGCGGGGGAGGAGGAGGGGGGGACACCGCGGGGAGCAGACAAACACAAGGGGGACCACATTGGTCACGAGGGGCCACGTCGGCTCGGAAAAATTGTGCAACGTGGAACATTGCGCAATATTTCTTAATTCTGCTGAAGCACAAGGTGTAGTGGTCTCGTCGTTGCGCTGCCCGAGGGGACTCGAAGCAAACGTCGCAGCCCCGAATGACCCCTCCCCGAGCGAGAGGACGAACCTCGCGCAGCAGCGCGGTGTCGGTCAGAGGACCGCGACGCTGAGGAGATGTTGACTACCTCGCCTGGTATACAGGAAGTCGTGGGTTCCATCCCGGCCCTGACGATGCCTGTCGTACATTTAGTCACGTGCATTTTTCTCCCGCACCCCCAATTTTTTCTCTCTTAACATTTAGAAACATGCATTTAGTAAAGTCACGTAGAAGGGAAATAATGACGTTAGGAAAAACCGCCACTTTTTTCAAATTGTCTTGCTGTGGATTTCACAACTGATGATGATTGCTTGTGTTGCAGTCGAAACGTCGTGAGAATTTTTATTGGTTTATATTAATATTATTTTATTATTTCCCTTCTACGTGACTTTACTGAAAGAACCAAGAATATGAATCCCTGCAGTCACGAAAGCTTTAAATTAAAAAAATGCATTTAGTAGTAGCAAAGCCGCTATTTTCATTTTTAGCAGGTAAAAGCCCACAGAGCCATATACATAGCTCTAATTAAAAAGCGACTGGACATGACAAAAAGTGGCCAATCGTCACGCCGTGCGCTTCAGAAGAATTCAAAATATTGCAAAATTTCAATTGCGCAATTTTTCATCTAAATCGCTGTGGCACCGTTGACCAATGAGTGCCACCGTTTTTGTCCAATCCACACTGTGGCCCCTATACCCCCTCATCCCTCGATTGTATAAGAAGCCCTGGCGCCCACGCAGGTCCGGCTCACAGCACCTATGCTGCTCCACTCACCGTTTGCACGCAGAACATTCGCAAACACCAACAATTTTAACATTTGAACAAAAGACATTTTCATTATTTTGTGGTTGTGTGCTGTTAACCTACGCCGGCTTATATAAAAAACAATTGGCCCCATCATTTATTTTTGCTCAAAGTTTTTATGTTTTACTATCCGAAATAAATTAATATTGAACACTAATATTTGTAGTCGACTTAAACCCTGTGGCCTCGTCTCTCTCTGGGAATTATGGAGGCGCTGCTGGCTGTGTGGATGGTGGGGTTGGTGGGTCTGCACAGAGCTCAGGGCTACGATGATGGAGCACCAGCGGATGTCTGCACCACCATGCTTCCAGATCACGGCACCAACACACTGACCGGCACACCCTACTCCATCGTCACCAACAGCAGCACCTTCACCACTGGCACCAAGGTTAACGGTGAGTGAATGACCCCACCACCCACCACCACCCCGACACAACTCCCTCCGCTCGTCGACTGTACGTACGTTGAGCTTCTTTCACACCGAACGTAGCCAACCGTGCTAGTCGCAGGTGCGGATTCCTCCATCCCGTATCGCGGACTCAGTCGACAGGACTGACCGCTGCTCATCTGCACGGCGTTCAACCATCACGGATCGCTCACTCAGCTATATAGTCGCTTGGAAAACGAGCAGATGCTACTGTGTTGTACTCTACTTAATTACGACAAGGCACCCTCGATTAACGAAGATATTTGTTCGTAAGTCAAAACGTAATAGCGCTCCATATTTTAATTGCCACACGATCATTGCTATGCAATTTGTTACGGTTCAACAAAAAAAGGGAAGCAGTTAAACTAATGAGAAATATTGTACATTTGCACGTAACACTGTGAACAAAAATACTGCACAGTAAATAAAACACAAATTAAAGTAACATAACATAAAAAATCCGTTTATTTTAACTTACCTTGAGTCAGGATGCTGGTTTGCTTGTATGAAGGGACGCAATTAGTCACCAAAATTGCACTCACACAGGGCACGCGCACACACACAGGGCACGCGCACACAGACACACACACAGGGCATGCACCCACACACATAAACACACACAGGATACGTACGCACACTCCAACTATCCCCCACTTAGCTTTAACACACTTTTGGAGAGCAGCGCCTATGAAGGCCGGCACGGCACACGAGGGGTGAGTGGAAAGCACCACGCCCGGCTGCCTTCGTCTCCGTGGTGTAAATATTTACACACTGCACCAGGCACTCATTTGAGGCTGAGTCGACCTCGGGGAGGCCAAGGAGCGGTTCGGATAATCGCCACTGGTGTTGGTCGTGAGTGGAAATCGAACTCGGTTCGCCGGATTCATAGCGCAGCACGCTAACCAGTGCACCACCGCTCCCCATACACACACCGCTCTCTCTCACACACACACTTTCACACACACACCGCCTTCTCTCACACGCACAAACACTCCCAGCGCAAGTTTGACTGATGACATATCGCGCAGGATCGCTCCGCTGAACAAAATTGTTCCCGCAGTTCAGTTTGCAAGTGCGAGGTCGCGTTTTAAGTCGTCAAAATAAATATATTTCATGGAAGCTAGTTCGTAAGTCGGGTGTACGTAAATGCGGGTGTTCTTAAGTTGAGGACTGTTTATGTTTTGCGCATTTCATTTGAACCTGGGGGATGGTTGATATGCACTGTACGGACATCTGGTGCCAAGACTGTTGAATTTAAAAACTGCAGTGCTCTGCGTGTTATCCCCCCGACGACCCATTTGGGAGATACAAATTTGTGACGGACGGACTTTTGCAATTCATTATGAACATTGCGCTGACTGAAAAATGTCCGCGTGAAGTCTCCAGTGGCGAAGCCGACTTGTCCTCTAGAGCTCTGTCCGTCTTCAATTCAAGAGAGCGCTGGGCTGAAATTCACGGGTAATTTAAAACGAACCCGTTTGTCCACTTTTACTGTGGAGCCTTCCCGGCCACTGCTCGCGTCACGAAAGTGGTGAGAAGCGCGACAGCCGAGCTAAGGTGGGGGGGGGGCTGTGAGCGTCTCAGAAATTGTCGCCTCCTTGTGTCTGTCCACAGTCACCATCGTGGGCACCTTCAAGGGCTACTTCCTGCAAGCGCGAATACCCGACAACACGACCATCGTGGGCACATGGGACACCCCACCTACAGGCAACAAATTCGTACAGGTGACTCAGCCCTCGGTTGACATCATCCTCATAATCACGATCCATGGGCAGATAGTCCGTAGGTGTCCACTGCACATCTCGTCATTTGTTTCCACTTTCCTTTGCCTTGTGCAACATGCTCAAGTACATCTTGTTAGCACCAATCTCTTATGTCGTCGTCAAGCCATTCTCTGAGGCATTTCTCTAGTTCCGGTTCCTTCCATATTTCTGAACAACACTTTTAATTTTCATCCTACATGTTGTGTGCCAGTTTCCTTCTCATCACCGCCTGTATCATCCTCAGGTCGTCTCCTTCTACGTGCAACCTTGTTTTGTACTTCTACGTTGGTCACTCTTTAGGTCCTGCCATTACTCCTTTTGGTTCTTGATCATCACTCTTGGCGGATGTCGTTTAATCTGCCACGACCCGACAGCCAATTAGTGAGGTATGTCAAGTAAACAAAACATGGAAATTCGGCACGATTTGGATGGAATGTGGTGGGTGGTTAATGCCCAGGTTAAGGGATGTTTCAGGCTGGACATTGGCCCATTCTAAGCACGTAAAGCCCCTTTAATTCAAGGCGAGGCGAGGTACGGGGGATCAACACGGCTGGGGCATGTGGTCATCCTGTGCATGTTTCATTCATTGCCAACCCGGCCTGGGCTGTACAACGGCTAACAAAGGGCTCCATAGGCTCATTGGGTTAACTCCAGCTTCAATAACAATGTCCGATGTCGTTTTGTTTCTGTGTCTTGCAGTGCAATTCCGTGGCAAACGCCGCGGTGACGCACTCCACCAGCACCTCCAAGACGAACCTGAGCTTTTATTGGATCCCCCCGACTACAAGCCCTCCCAGCTCCGTAGTGTTTGTGTGAGTTCACCGTCACAGGGCACTCTTACACGCACATTCCACTTGATTATTATGGATATTAGTACTAATTACACGCCACAGTGGCTACGAGATGTTAACTACCTTCGCCTGGTACACATGAAGCTGTGGGTTCGAACCCGACCCTGACGCCTCTATATTTGGAGTGTACGTGTCTCTCTCCATGTAGTCATGTGGATTTTTTCTCTGGGTCCTCCGTTTTTTCCCTCCACATTTAGAATGGCCACATGTTTAGAGTATTTGGCTGCTATAAATTTTCACATCAGCCACTCCGATGAGCTATAATTTTTGGCCAGATCGTTTCTGCAAAATATCTATATAGCTTAATGGGTCTTACCTGGTAAAATAAAAAAAATATTATTGGTGTAAGGAATGCCTAGAGAACCCTATAAAGGGATACGGTGAGTCCTCGCTTAATGCGTGACGGTGTTCACACTACAACGCGTTTTTTCTATAATACGGTTCTTTCGTTTGGGAACGTTTATCTTGCCGTTATGTGATGTTATAACGAGGAACGTGCCCCATTATAACGCGGAACGTGTCTGTTTCAACGCGGAGACCGGTAGGGAAGACAAAGGGAGATTGGTGGAGAGGCCTTTAAGGTTCCAGAAAGGACAGAGAAGAAGATAAAAGGAGCGGGTAGAAGGGGTTCGGTGTGGTGCATTGTAACGGAGCGATTCCCTGAAGCGATATGCGCTGTGTTGAGGTGACAGAGTTCACGTTCAAAGGCTTACCTTGGACTGCAACTCTTTACTTTAATATTACTCCGCTTGTCTACCTGGGAGAGTCTCGCTGAATCTCAAGACCCTTTTCTCTGGAGGGTCCTGTCAAGGTGTCGCATCTGGGGGGTGCGATCCTACTGTACGTCATCTCTACTGAGTAATCTCCGGTTATTTGTTTTTTAAATTTCGGCGTTAATTGGCCACTAAGCAGTTGCATTGTCTTCTGATGGATGTCCTCTCCCCACGTGACGACTTTTGTTTACGTTTCCACATCGGCAACTCCATTGGGGAGTAGCCCCCCCTCCTTGTCTTTCTCCTCTCGTGAATCATAACTAGGGGGACAGTCTTCTTCTTGGTTCTTTCGGTAAAGTCACGTAGAAGGGAAGTAATAAAATAATAAAAATAAAACATAATAAAATAATTCTCACGACGTTTCGGCTACAACGTAAGCAGCCGTTCTCAGGTGAAGAATGAAACACCACCAAGCTTGGAGCGTATATTTAAGTTGGGTTAGAGGGGGGGAGGTGGGAAGAAGAGCGCCTTGACAAAATCATTTGCATATCAAGAGGAATTTAGCATATGGAAAATGCGTAGGAGGTGGGTGGGGGGGTTTCAAATTAATATTATGCCCGTGCATTATGCAGGATTAGCAGCATCAAAAGGAGGGGGAAGGGGGGTAGCATTAACAAAGGAAAGGAATGTTAATAGTATGTAGCTGCAGTTACTAAACAACCAAGTAAAAAAAACTAAAGTATAAACTACATAAACAACTAAAGTATAAACTACATAGCATCATCAGTATACTTACTATACTCTACAATAAGCTGAGTTACTAACAGTAAATAATACATTACAATTCTACATCGTAAAAATTATATAATACTAGCAGAAGTATCCGGCGTTGCCCGGGTGAAAAATATATTTCTTAATAAGCTTACATATATATACAAATACTCACCACTCACGCTCACCACTCACCCTCACCACTCACCCTCTCCCTCACCACTCACGCTTACCACTCACCCTCACCACCACCACTCACCCTCACTAATCACCCTCACCACTCCTCACTGCTCCCTAATCACCCTCACCACTCATCCTCACTACTCACCTTCACTCACCTTCACCACTGACCCTCACCACTCACCCTCACCACTCATCCCCACCACTCACCCCTAACCATTCACCCTCACTACTCACCATCACCACTTACCCTCACCACAAACCCTAACCACTCACCCTCCCCACTAACCCTCACCACTCACCCTCACCACTAACCCTCACCCTCACCACTCACCCTTACTACTCACCATTCAACCTCACCACTCACCCTCACCACTCACCCCTCACCATCACCACTCACCCTCACCACTCACCATCACCACTCACTCTCACTACTCACCATCACCACTCACCCTCACCATTCACCACTCACGCTCACCACTCACCACTCACCACCACCAATCACCCCTCACCACTAACCCTCATCACTCACCTTCACCACTGACCCTCACCACTCACCCTCACCACTCATCCCCACCACTCACCCCTAACCACTCACCCTCACTACTCACCATCACCACTTACCCTCACCACTCACCCTCACCACTAACCCTCACCACTCACCCTTACTACTCACCACTCAACCTCACCACTCTTCCTCACCACTCACCATCACCACTCACGCTCACCACTCACCTTGACCCCTCACCCTCACCACTCACCCTGCCTACTCACCACTCAACCTCACCACTCAACCTCACCACTGACCACTCACCCTTACCCTCACTACTCACCCTCACCACTCACCCTCACTACTCACCCCTAACCACTCACCCTCACTACTTACCCTCACCACTCATGCTCACCACTCACCCTTACTATTCACCACTCACCCTCAACATCAACACTCACCGTCACCACTCACCCTCACCACAAATCCTAACCACTCACCCTCAGCACTCACCCTCACCATTCACTCTCACCACACCCTCACCACTCACCCTTACCACTCACCCTTACCACTCACCCTCACCACTCACCGTTACTACTCACCACTCAACCTCACCACACACCTTCACCACTCACCCTCACCACTCACCCTTACTATTCACCACTCACCCTCAACATCAACACTCACCGTCACCACTCACCCTCACCACTCACCATCACCACAAATCCTAACCACTCACCCTCAGCACTCACCCTCCCCACTCACCACACACCCTCACCACTCACGCTCACCACTCAACCTCACCACTCAACCTCACCACACACCTTCACCACTCACCCTCACCACTCACCCTTACTATTCACCACTCACCCTCAACATCAACACTCACCACTAACCACTCACTGGTGATGGTACCTGCTATGACTACAGCAGTGCATATTGTGGTGGTACCTGGTATGATTACAGCAGTGCATACTGCTGTGGTGGGACCTGCTATGATTACAGCAGTGCATACTGACTGATGGTACCTGCTATGATTACAGCAGTGCATACCGACTGTGGTGGTACCTGCTATCACTACAGCAATGCATACTGTGTTGGTACCTATGATGACAGCAGTACATACCGAGTGTGGTGGTACCTGCTGTGATGACAGCAGTACATACCGAGTGTGGTAGTACATATATTACATACACAAATAGTTTAATGTACGTAAAAAGTATTTGTGTATGAATTTAACGTGTTTAGGAGAATAAAAACTGTAATACTAAATAAGCAATGGAACTGTGAACCCAAATGATGGACCACATAATAAGCCAGTGTGGTTTCCGTCTCTTCAATGTAGGAATAACAGGACTTGCATAAGCTCTCTCCTGAAGCCCTTTCGTTGCCAGCAGACCTGAACATTGACATTTAGCTCTCCAAAAGTGCCATACACAAGAAGACAAACAGAAACATGTATTTAATTGTAGTTAACATTTATTTAGTGCCTTTTTATACGGCTCTTGACTCAGGTTCAACCGCAAGAAACCAAAACATTAAAAAAGAACATCTTAAAGTGACGACGCGCGACAAAAACATCCAGGGAAAAACTGCAAAATCTTCCTGGAAAAACTCCGTGTATCAACGCTGCGCGCAAAAATCCCAGTGGGATGCAAGTCTAACAATAACAACCATACAACAATTTAGATTAAAGATATCAGGCTAACTCTGTACTACTACATAACATGTACATGCCTTGGTCTTTTATCGAATCCAATGAGTCGTAAGTAGATGGTCAATGGTAGAAAAACACGTATTTATTTGTACTATAGTAAGGCACTGCAAAAAACACAGACTATATAACTTGTAATAGGAAAAAGGGGGAAATGGGGAGAAGGGAAGTAGGGCAGGTAAGATCCTAGGCGAAGGAACAACAGCGCACGGGCGGTGCCGCAAACAACCGCTGACTGCAAGATCGCCGACAGGTAAAACTGCCACTTTTTGCTGACCAACACCCCCCTATCAAAGAGCTTCTTTGTAAACAATATTTCTGGTCCTGCCTGCTGGTGCAAAGTAATGTAAATAGTTTTCACTGCCTACACGAGAGCATCCAACATAAAGTTGGCCATGAGAAAAGCAGTGAGTTCCCAAATTCAGTCCCACCACTTTTAAAGATTGTCCTTGCGCCTTGTTAATGGACATGGCAAAGCTGAGCTGGATGGGGAATTGAAGCCTCTTAAATTCAAAGACTGTGTCATTAGGGATTATAGGTATGCGAGGGATAAAGACGTCCTCACCTTTAGAATTGCCTGTAATGATTGTAGCTTTGATAACATTACAATGTAATTCTGTAACAATTAACCTTGTGCCATTGCATAGTCTAGGTGGGTCCAAGTTTCTCAATAGCAAGACAGGTGCCCCCATTTTTAGTAGCAAGTTGTGTGGTGGTACACCCGGGAGCTGCAGAGAATTCAAGAATTCAACTGGATAGTGAACAATTTGATCATGGTCCAACACTGTGTCAATAGATTTGTAGGACTTGCTCTCTCCAGATAATTTCTGCAACAACATGGAATTTATTCTGTGAACGGCATCATTTTTTGGAGCCAAAATGGCCCTCTCCTCTAGCCAGACAACATCTTGAAAGTGTTGTTGCATGTTTGGGTACACTTTTTCCTCCAGTTCCTCTTCCGAAGTGGAAAGGATGCCTTTAGACATGGTGATAAGTCCATCTGTGCCGTCAGCAAGAATTATGCCATTTCCAATATCAAGGAGAGCTTCAGCAAAGTTTCCTGCCTCTTGGTCTCCATGGAGATATACATGCA